GAAATCGCACAGAGGCTCTGAAGATGGGTTGCCTACCTGAGGTACGCGAGAGTGCCCTGCTGCATAACATGTATACTGTGCATGCATGTAAATGTTTCACAACTACATTAACTTGGCCACCAACCTCTTTCCCTTCAGGTCAGAGAACCAACCCAAGTTGTCAGCAATAATGTGGTGTTTTTCACATCCTGGGCAGGTCACTAGGACAACACCTTTATGATAGGCTACCTTGGATATCCTCTTTGTTGACCTGGTTGAGCACACCTGCATACAGATCATTGACAGTAAAATAATGATACCGTTTATTAGAAGAGTCAGGTGAAGAGTCAGTCTGATCTTTATAAACTATCCATATAATCTTATTCATTATCTAAAAGGCAAAACTGATCCATCAGCACTGATCCATCAGCACTCCTACTCTGAGATGGTTTATGGATACGGGCCCTGAGTACCAGTGTTCTGATCACCTCACCAACCAAATCTTGACAAATCATGCTATGCCTGTCACTGTAGAAAACATGATGTGAACAAGAAACTGATCTTCCCATTTAAAAGTGGGGGCGACTGCTGGGCTCCAGTAGGACCCTCTTCCCTAGGGGGAGGTTGGAGGTGGCGTTATCCAGGTCCCCCCTGCTCCGAGATGGCCCGCTTGAAGCCCCGGCTGTGCCCATTCACCACTCCTCCACGGTGCCACTTACAGAGTCCCCATTCAGGATGTCCTGGATGTGCTGCACGATGAGGTTGATGGCCACTGAGCATGAGAGGCAGATTAATAAGAGAGATGGAGGGAGGGAGGAGATGGAGAGAGAGGGATATGGAGAGGGTATGAGTCTGAAGGCTTCATCAGAGTGCTATAACTTACCCATGTTGTCAACCTCCTCGAGGAATAATTACATCTGCATATTTCTTGGTCTGGGGGGGGAAATAACTAATCAATCTAAATTTGGTAGCTAATGCTCTCAAAAGACTGCATTTAGAACATAATATAAATTAGTCACTGGGGTGTTATATGTGTCATTATCTTTTAAATGTCCATAATTAGCCCTATTAATAATGAATGAAAGTGTCCATTATCTGTTAGTTATCATCGGTGTATGGTGAGGGTGTGTGGCTCTGCTGGACATTTACAGGCAAACATAACTCCTCGAAGGCTGGCTTGACAAACGTGGTGTACTGGTTAAGGATCTGCTCCAGGTCTCTGCCTCTCTTCATGTCCCGCAGAACTGCAGGTCAAAACCAAAACAACAACAACCAGGTCAGGACCAAGACAACAACAACAACCAGGTCAGGACCAAGACAAATGTGACAATACAGTATATACATCAAATATGCTAGAGAAAAGTGTGTGTATGAGTATGGAAGTGGACGTGCATGTGACAATCCCCTTGTGAGGTGTGTGTGTGTTCAGTAGTACCTCTGCGGGACAGCCTGACATCAGAGTCAGTGTCCACAAAGAGCTTCATGTGAAACATGTCCCTCACTTCCTGAGAGTAGAATACCAGAATGCCCTCAAACAGAACCACATCAGCGGGGTACAACCGTGATCCTGTCCTGCAGCCTGGAAAACACACACACATTAAGCACCAAATGTATAGTACACACAGAGGTATTCTATTGACAGACTAACTTTCACGTGAATGCATGGTGTGTGTGTGTGTGTGTGTTAATTAATCTGCAAATGCATTGACATTCATGTCTGAGGCTGCACACACCGGGACGATGAACGGCCGAAAGCAGTAGGTGCCGTGCTCTATGATTCAACACAGAATCAGAATGGCTGTCTGCACTTAGTTTTCACAGTGGCAAATATATTTTTAAAAATATATGGCACACGACACCGGTCTGATTGACGCCTGTCTCAGTGGACTAATCCATTGGAGACCGCGGGGATGGCACACCAGTACCACCACTAGTACATTTACCGTTAATTACCATCATTTCTAATTACAATGTTTGTTTATGTTAATTTCTGTTAATGCTTTTTTTCTGTTAATGCATTCAATGTATTATTATTATTACAGTCTTACCGTTGTCATTGTCGGAGTGGACGCGTTGTTTGCAGAGCGCACAACCTACGTTTATTTCTGAGTTGTTAATTTATTCATTGTCTTTTGTTTGGAGCGCGCCTGTCAATCTTGAGTAAGGACACGCACCTTGTAACGCATAGAAGTAGGCCTAGGCTACCTGGCCTGCGCGCAAATGTAGGCCTATAAATGTGCCCATTTGGGGATCTGATACTATTTCTGATTTTCTTAATTCACCATCACTGTGGAGCTTCTCAAAGTAATTTTTTCTTTGCCTCATACAGCAAGTAAATGAAGTCTGTTTTTACATCCATTGAAAATGACAATAGTTCCTCAACGTAGCCTATTTCAAAATTATTTCCAGCTCTCTCCCTTTCGATAACCACACAGCATGAAAGGCAAAATAAATGTCATCCTCTGATCCAGTGGAAACGTCACAATATAGGCCTACCTGATTACTTCTTATCCCTTGCGCAAAATAGCCTACAGCTGTTGTCTGTCTGTCCGGAACTCACTGGCACAGGAAACTGAGGGCCCAAAACATTTTATACAATGTTTGCAAGTTTGCTAGCACGAGCATCAGGCTGGACCAAGTTAATAGTTGATACAATGTTTTAAGTTCCTTGCAGACAGGCCATGCGTTAGCCAATGGAATTTATAGTATATTTATTTTTATCAGGATATTTTCTACCTGCAGGCTGCAATGTTTTTATTTGTTGGCTTTATGTAGGCTATTTTTACATAGTTGGCAATGGCAATAGAAGTTACTTTTAGATTTGTATCATTTTCAATGTTGATTAACCACAACATTGATTTTGAGTTTTGAAGACTATTATAAATTAAATGAAACTGTTCTACGAAAATGAAAATCATAACTGGCACGCACGCAGTTCAGTAGAAATGGTACGATAACTTGGCACTCCAAATGGAAAAGGTTACCGACCGCTGGCGTAGCCTATTACCGGCAACTTCAGGAGCGTAACGGCAGAATCTGCGAAGACCAGCAGTAGAGGGAGGAGGGGGGGTCAGTAACATTTTTTTTAAAATTCTGGTTAGGCTATATTGATCTCTGGCTCCCTCTTTAGTCATTTGTGTGTCTTCATTTTTAATCGCAGTGCTTAAACCATCAGACAAGCTCCGTAGCCTACATATAGTTGATTTTATTCAGTTTTCAGTTTGGAGTAAATGTTTTGCAACAGACTAATGCAATGAAATCAGACTAATGAATACACCCAGTTCTTTTGGTTTTTCTTTTTCTTTAGGTCAAGGGTCATCTATCTGAGCTCTGGAATGTGGAGGGTGGGCATTTTTGATCCCGTCTGTCTGAATTCAAGAAGGGGCATTTCTGTACACTGGGTCTGGATGGAATGTTTCCTTCTCACCTGGAATGCGTGACAAAGTCATATGTCGGCACCTCCACCACACTCCCCTCCACAATATCCTTCAGGGTTTGGTACATCAACTCTTTGTCGAAAGCATCTGTAATAAACATTAAGGTTATTAACTCAATTACACTGTTCAGCCAGAACATTAGCCATTTATAATTCTAGCAAAGATTCATTAAACGCCATGATTAACTAAATCCACGTTATCTAAGTGATAAGTGACTGACTGAGAGCTTATGTTATTACAACGATTATACTTATGTTATTACAATTCATACAGGCCTGTAGTACATTTTACATTTACGTTTTAGTCATTTAGCAGACGCTCTTATCAAGAGCGACTTACAGGAGCAATTCAGGGATTCTAACCAGCGACCTTTCGGTCCAATCTTTAGGCCCAACGCTCTTAACCGCTAAGCTACCTGCCACCCCCACCTGGGTGGTCAAAGTTGTAATGGCCCTTGAGTGCCTTGGCCTTCTGGTCAGGTGTCAAGACTCTGTAGAAAACTGTCTTGGCTGACGATAGCAACTTTCCTCTGACGATGGTCCACCTTGTTCTGGCCCAGCAACTCCATGATTTTGGCACATACTGTTGACTAAAAAACAGACAGGTTTATTATTTCCTAGATTAGCACAGTTTAGCTAAATCTATCACATAGAAAGGGGTTATGTGTATTTCAACATTTTGTGAGTTGAGTAAAGTTTCCATGAATTGTGTGTAATATACCATGTTAAAGACCTGTCACACGCAGGAAATGTATTGACATTTGGCATATTTTCAGTTTGATGATGAGGTTGGAGCAGAGAGCAGTAGCTGACACATTTCAAAATAATCTCACAGACAGAAAACAAGACACTAACGTTAGTTTAATTGATGGCTTGGTGGCAAGAGACGTCCCCATTTCATTAGCGATGTCACATCACATCACGAGTTCTCCTATTCCTGCATGACAACTGTTAGAAATTGCGTAATTCAAATCTGGTATTGGAAAAATAGAAAACATAATCAAGAGATATTCATTCCAAGCTAAACAAAACCCAACTATAACACAAGGTTATGACTGAAATGCCCTCTCAAAGTGGTAGAGAAAAATAGTTCTAGAAAATGATTGACTGTTAACTGAGAGCTTTGGATAAGTATATATAGGCCTACTTTATTGATATTGGCCACTACACTTCAGACCAAAATGTTTGGCTTCTTATTTGATAAATCGTTTTTTCTTAAATGTTTCCCTCTGAAAATACACTCAGGTGTTATTGTATGGGAAAATCAAAAGCGAATAGCTACTTGAGACATTTTGTTGTAAAGTTCTCAAATGGCTTAACAGAAATGTCACAATAATATGGATGGAGGTCTAGTGATTGTATTGTTTGTTTCCTTATGAAAACACACAGAGCGTACCCTGTTCCTCTGGCACAGTGATGTAATCGTGTGGTGGTCTAAAACAAGTGTATCATGCCTCATTATGTTGGTTTGAATGTGAGGTTTAGCAAAAAATTCACTGTTCCGAAGTCATTTTCCCAAACATTTGGTTGTTTTACGTTACCCTACAGTTTAACACAAACCCAAATCAAATAGCTACAGGTAGCCTACTACTGAATAAAGACCTGGATAAGTAACAGGCACTACCATAATGTTTGCTGAAGGAAGAGAAAGAGAAACCTAAGTAAGCTCTATGTTGCTCCCTTATTTCAAAGCCTGAAGCAGCCAGCCATAGTTGTAAAGGTCACTTGGGTTTAGGAGATTACAGTAGAAATCAATCTATTTCTCAGAGATTACTCCATTATGACCATCATCTGACAACAATAAGGGTCCAGCGGGCCCCTACAGATCAGGTTAGATTAGAGTGACCAGTGTGGCCCTACAGATCAGGTAAGACTAGAGACGACCGGCTGGTCTGTCTCAGTGGGCTTGGTAGTGGAACCAGCCAAGGGACAACAAGGGGATTTAGCCTGTGTCCCAAATGGCACACTATTCCCTATATAGTGCACTACTTTTGACGAGAGCCCTATGCCCTGGTCAAACGTAATGCACTGTGTAGGGAATAGGGTGCCATTTGAGACAAAGGCTATTTAGAATTGAGCTCTTACTCCTGAGGGGACAAAAACATCCAACCTCCTATGCCTCATGGACTACTGTAGCCACAGGGGTGAATCGAATTAAAGCAATCGGTAATTTGATGCATGGCTTGAGTTCCCACTGTGTTTTGTGATGCTTGAAGGAATTGGACCTGTTTTGTCGTTTCTGAATAAAGGAAAGAGTTAATTACTTGCTTGTGTAATTCACTTGAGTCACTTGCTTTGGCAGTATATGTTTCCCATGCCAATAAAACCCCTTTGAATTTAGAGAGAGAGAGAGAGAGAGAGAAAACGGGACCAAGCTCAGTGTGGGTGGGCTACGGGCCTCCATAGCTCCATAGGCTAGGTGACTGAAGAAAGCTAATCTGATTTAGCTCAACACTAAGCCACTAACAGGATCAGTTCACCTGTTAAAGCACTGCTACACAACACAAGGTAACACAGGCTGCTGTCACACTCCACACATAAACTCAATGACAAACACACTATGGGACCATTACTTGGGCCAAAAACTTTACATGTGTTTTTATATAAGTAACTCAGTTTGGTGTAAATCATGCACTGATATCAATGGTACATTTAAGTAAGTAAGTGAGAAAAGTGAGTGTGCATAAATTAGAAATCGTCCCTACATTATGTGTTCTTTATGTATCAATTTAATGTTGCCCTCATCAATGGTCCCGTTCAGCTCAGTTGGTAGAGCATGGCGTTTGCAATGCCAGGGTTGTGGGTTCGATTCCCACAGGGGACCAGTATGAAAAAAATTAAATATGTATGCACTCACTAACTGTAAGTCGCTCTGGATAAGAGTGTCTGCTAAATGACTAAAATGGAAATGGTCGTTCCTAGTTAGGGTTCTTTCTCAGTTTTAGAATTGTGATCCGTTTCCCTCATCTTAGTTCACATGAGGGCGGAGTAGTCTACAGGTTAGCTACCAGCCCTTAGATACATGCTCCATAATCTGCAGACGGCACCACACATGGCCCCACAAGCCATGAATGTTGTCCCTTGTGACTCAGTTGGTAGAGCAATGTCAAGGTTGTGGGTTCGATTCCCATGGGGGACCAGTATGAAAGAAAAGAAGAGAACGGAAATGTATGCACTCACTACTGGAAGTCGCTCTGGATAAAAGTGTCTTCTAAAATGTTAACTTTTAAATAATTAAAACAGCCAGCCATGCCATATCTCTGTTTCTGCAGTTATGGCGAGGTATGGCATTTTCTTTGGAGATTGTTTTGGGTATTTACCAGACTCAGGGAGGGACAGGCAGCTAGCTCATGGCAGTCACACCACACAACCTCTGACTGGTCCCCTGTTCACATTCCCCTGGAGTCATCAGACAGGCTAGCCACACCACACAACCTCTGACTGGTCCCCTGTTCACGTTCTGCTGGAGTCATCAGACAGGCTAGCCACACACTGTGACACAAACTCTTTTTCTCTCCCTAATTTATACATGCAAAGGTCGCCTAGCAACTGCTACAACACCCGACCCCCACCTCACCTCCCTCTCCTATCTTACCGCCCAATATTCTGCCGTTATTTAAAGTACTTTAGTCTATTTATTTAAATCAAATCATTCCCACCTAATTAGTTAAAGTTGGTGCATATTTATATTTCAACAATAAACCAAATAATTTCAGTCTAATTGTTTAACCAGTATTTTGCAGGGTCAAACGCCACAGTTCAATCATATCAGCTCAAACGTTTCAGTTCAGTCACACTAGTCATTCATCACAACCAAGCTAAGAGTGTGCAATAATTCTAACTAGATAGCTAGCTAGCTGTATACCATTAGCTAGCTAACTTTAAGTGCCTTAAATTTATGAAAACAGACGTTCGTAAATTATTAGGCCAAAGAAAATACAAATTGTTATCACGTTTTGGTACAGGGGCGTGTCTGCTCTCAGTGCATGGGGCAACGAAAGCTAACGTTTCCGACTAACGTTACTGTTTGTTGATGTGACCTAAAATTAAAGGCGCTTCATGGTCAATATCTGATCTGCCGTGCAGTATTTACGGTGATATGGCCTCTGCAGAAGTCAAGGCATTCATGCTTCGCGGCGCAGAGCTGATGTGAAGGAAGTTGTCAAGTTAGTGAGTTTGTGTTTACACAGGACCTTCCGCCCTCAATCATGTCAATGCGGAGCTATACGGAGCCTTCCGCATTGTTACAACACGGCGATGCCGTACAGAGCTCAATCTGGCCACCACCATTACGACGCCTCCGACCACATTTTCGGATCAAGCATAAATTGGCTCTTACTAACCCATACAGCTAGATAAGGCACGCTAGCTATTATTAGTTACCTACCTTGCCACTGGCCGTTCCTCCGCTAACACCGATCAGAAACGGCCGGTGTCTTGGCCGCTCCATCTCGAACGGTCTGATAGCAGTCATATCGGGGCAATTTGTCGAGTAACAGCACGCTTGTTTAGCTAGCTTGCTGCCTTCTTCTTCTTCTTCTATAAAGATTTATGGAAGACTACACCTATTTGTGTATTGCCGCCACCTCTGTACGGGGTCCTCTTCTTTGATATTATGGCGGTCCGCAAACAAATGCTATTGGTGCATGCCGCCACCTACTGTTTTGGCTGTATATCAGCCCAAATAATTAACAAAATAATACAAAACAAAAATCAATGCGCTCCTTTATTCAGATTCAACTGCCAACGCCCATCCCTGCAGGTTCTGGGGCCTGAGAAAAAAATAGCATCTTCGGACAGTATTCTTTGCACCGTTTGGGCAGTGAAGTCATGGAAACCCAAAAACCTTTCAGCCGATGATACTATTATGTCCAGTTTCTTGGACTTTTTGTTCGTTTGTGCAGTACAATTAATCACATGCGCGATAAACACCATAACATTCACCTTCTTCACAATCAGCATATCAGTTTCCCTCAACTGTTGAACAACACTCTGAATCTCCCCAGTCTAGGTGCTTTATAAAACAATAATCTGTTCACGTTCATACGTGTAACAACGCGAGAACACGGACAAGCACTTCCTTCAGAAAAATAATGTTTGTAAAAACGTCAAAATAAGGGTCCTCATTTTGAAACTCATGAAATAAGTGTGAAAAAAATGCTGTAATGTTGCAATAATACATTAAATTGGCCACCATGCAGTTTTTGTAATGTTCTATTGCCTAGGCCTACTGGTTCTCTGAAGCATCCTGAAGAGTTACCTTGTTGTATAATGTATACCATTTACAACTGGAATCTATATTGATATTACAATAAGGTGTGTATATTTTTTTCTTATGAATACATTTCTTTCTTGTCGTCCAATAATTTTCACTTAGCAAAAATTACTTAATATCAAGGCAAAACTGATTGTGTGGATGAACAAAGGTAATGTTTACATAGTCCTATGTACATCCCAAATGGCACCCTATAAAGTACACTATCGGCCCTGGTCAAAAGTAGTACACTATGTAGGGAATAGGGTGCAATTTTAGGACACAATCAGAGGACACCCGCTCATGTATCATGGACAGTAGCTGTGAAGTGATACACATTGTTGCAGTGTGGTTTTTACTATGTTTATGAGCTTACTACTACAAAATATACTGTATTTCAACCATAGAAGTGGGTTAATTGGTTAAGGTAATTGAAAATAGGCCTATTTGGCTCTGGTGATTTGTCTGTCAGAGTGGGTGTGGTCTCCCATGGCATCACATTACATCACAATCATGATGTCATAAATGACTGTGTTCAGATATGTTGACAGCCTAAATGGTTTGCCATAGCGTTACTGTCACATTACGGCAACACTTAAGTTCAATTCAGGGTCAAAACCATTGCTATAGTAGTCCTACTTTGTGGCACAATTTAATTGAGTTTATTTAAATAATATAATAATATTTTTAAGCCATATTGTATCTTTTTCAGGATTACAGTAATTGAGGGAACTATGGGAAAGTTCTCCTTCCCAAGGCTCATCATAAGAATGGTTAGAATCCCTTTTCTCTCACCCCCTCAGTCAAAACTCCAGCGCTTTAAAATCATCATTTTGACATTTAGGCCTATGAGCTTTTCTAAGATTGAAAATAACAAGCTTGTATAATGATAACCTCATTACTGACTGCATGTTTGTCCTCATTTTAATTTCTAGCCATGGGCAAATCGGACTGCACGGGACGATTTCTGCACAGGAACTAACGAACTCCACAGGCTCAGACCAAACCACCCTCACAACTCCTCACAACTCCCCAGCCATACTGTAAGTCCCATCTGCAGGCTAACTCTATGATCTCTAAAGTGGTCCAGACTAATCATTTATGGCCAATCAGTGTAAACTTCGTACTAACTACGGCTTGATCTAGTGTCAACATTATACCTTCTTGATATTCTATATCAACGGAAAACGATGGAAGGCACATAATAATCCAATGAGTAAAACAAAATATACCATGTTCTATTCTCAATATCCCTACTGCCCCAAAGGTGTGTAGGCAGGGCAAGGAGAACACCGATTCAACCCCGAAGAAGAGGAAAAAGAAGAGGCACAATGAGAAGGGGACACAGGTTGAACTAGGCATGCGGGAGGATATCCATGACCTTGAGCTCGCCCATTGGAGATTGGCTAAAGAGACATGGAGAACTGAGCGAGGAAACATGAGGGAGATAAAGGCGCTGTATGGAGAAATATTTAGGCTGCACAAGTTGTTGGAGGAGGTAACGAGCAGTTTTCTTAAATCAGACTTCTCAGTAGATATACTGTAGTTGCTTTGAGATGTTCCCAATCCTGATACACGGAAATTAGATCTAAATAGTTTGAATAGTGAAATAAGACAGCAATAAAAAAAAACTGCACACTGGTAGTATTCTCAGGAATGTCTGCATTCTGCACTGGTAGTATTCTCAGGAAGGTCTGCATTCTGCACTGGTAGTATTCTCAGGAAGGTCTGCATTCTGCACTGGTAGTATTCTCAGGAAGGTCTGCATTCCTAGAAGAGTTGAAAAAGAATAAATCCAAAAGTGTGGACGATCCCATTTTCCTAATAAGCTAATATACAGTAATAAAATGTTTTCTCTATAATATGTACTACCCATACACATATAATTGTTTTAAGATAGTAATAACATGGACCATCAAGCTATTAAGTAATAAAAATGTGTCTGTCATCATACAGATTGGGGTAGATAAAGGGGTGATCAAGCAGCGCTCCACCTCCTCCATTCTTTGTCCCGTCTCCCCGACACTGCCAGCTCTCCCCAGGTACAATCTCCACAGGTACCTCACCAAAAGCCAATCGGAGTGTGACCAGCATGCCGCCGCCACCCAGAAGAACCCGGCTAAGAAACACTCAATCTTTCCCCCTCTGGTCACACAGAGCTGCACCTCCCCTGACAAACGGCCTCATTCTCCGTCCAAGACGTCGCACCCACACGCTTCACACAGATTTTCTGTCCCATTCCACCTTCTGGCTCCCGGCCCTCCTGCCCAGCTGAGGCAGACCCATCCGCATGTCCACCCCAGGTCCCCATTGACTGACCAGGCAAAGGTCAAGGATAAGGTCAAGAGGTCAGAGGTTGCATCGTCTGAGGAATTGTCTGAGGAAGTTCAACGGAGAGGTGCAGAAATTGAGAATATGTATAAAGCGCAGCTGAAAGAGAGGATGGCCCAAAAGAGAAAGGAAGAGATTCTGAAGAAAAGGATAAACAACTATGACAAGAACGATGACACTGAGGCCTCCTGCTCCTCTGCAGTAGGACAATCCAAGACCCCTGCCACAGCCCCCGAGCGTCCGGCCAGCCCAGAGGCCACCACAGATGCCACGCCAGTGGTCGTCCAAGAGGACACTCAGGGGGCCACCCAGCAGGACCTAGCAGAGGTTGTGAATGTGCTCAAGAGGCAGTCATCTGACCTATACCTGCCTGACGACGTTTGTGAGGATTCACTCACGTGGAGCTCCATTTACGAGGAGCTGTGCCCACTTGCTCACAGGGTGAACTCAGAAGCTGACTACATCAAGGCGCTCTGCGACACCACTGAGAAGGCTGTGACGCCCTTGCGCTTGTCTCAGGAGGATGTGTCTCAGAGTATGAGTGAGGACACAAGTGAGGAGGGGAGTAGTGAAAGTGAGGAGAGCATGAGTGGACAACAACAGAGATGTCTACACAGGGATCCTTATGGTGAGAGGGAGAGGAAGAAGATTGATAGTCGTACAATGGAAGGGAGATATGCAACCGCAAATGCAATGTCTATGATGGCGAGCCTAGGGAAAGAAGAACTTAATGCCATGAGCTACGCAGAGAGGATTAAATATTTCAAGGACGAGGCTAAGAAAAATGAAGAGATGTTGAAGATGAAAAGTGGGAAGGAAAAAGAAAGGAAGGCGGAGAAAGACAGGGAAGAAGAGCTAAAAAAGTGGGAAAAGAGACAGAAGAAATCGGTTGAGGAGGAAAGGAAAATGACAGAAAAGATGGAAAAAAAGAAGTTAGAGGAGCAGATGAAAAGGGAGAAGGCAGAGATGAAACTAAAGATCGAACAAGAGAAAAAGAGACAAGAGCAAGAGAAAAAGAGAGAAAAAAAAGAAATGAAGAAGCAGCAGATGCAACAGAAGGCCCGTGAAAAAGAAGAGAAAAAGAGGGTGGAGAAAGAAAAAAAGAGGGAGAAAAAGAGGGCAGAGGAGTTGAAAAAGATTGAGAAACAGAGGATGGAGGAGGAGAAGAACAGGGAAAAGGAGAGAATGAAGGTGCTGGAGATGCAGCAAAAGGCACAAGAGAAAGAAGAGAAAAGGAGGAAGGAGGAGAAGAAAAGGAGATTGAAGATACAGCAGGAACAAGAGAAGGAGGAGAAGAAAAGGCAGAAAAGGATATGGGACGAGGATAAGAAGAGAGCAGAGCTTCAAAGAATAAAAGATGACGAGGCCAGGTTCAAGATGGAGATGGAGAAACTGTATGAGAGAGAAGAGCGGATTGCACAGATTGAAAGAGAAAAGAGGCGTGCGAAGTATGAGAAAAAAGGGCAGACACAGAGAGCAAAACAGGTGGTGCCATACCCGGTCACAGCGTTTACATCTTTGTGGACGGAAGAGAGGGAGCAGTGTCCAGAGACCGCTCACGCACAGTCTGCCAAGAGGAGAACAAGGAAGAAGCAGAAGAATGAGGCGGACGAGGCGTTGACAACTTTTGAGTAGATGACGAAAGAAAAGCGAGCAGACAAAGGAAGAAAGAAATGTTGTCAATGCTCTTAGGTATGTTAATAGATGTAAATAAACAAACATTTTTATATTTAAGGCAAAAAACTAACAACAAAACTGGAAAAGGTGCAAAAGGGGGGGGAATAATACAGAGCCAGGCATGAGGGTGAAGAGGAGAAAACATGAGAGGAGGAAGGGAGACCAGAGTGGTTTATCAGGAGGGAAATAGGAGATATAGAATTCAAGTCCTGATGGACAGAATCAGGACGGACCATGGGATAAAAGGTCAATGAGATTAGCAGTAAAGAAGAGCTAAGTGGATCAAAAGAAAGTTATGGAAAACGCAAGGGGGGAGGGCAATACTCAGAGGCAGAAGAAGACAAGATAAACAGAGACCAAGAGAAAAGAGGTGAAACCGTTTCATAAGAGTAATAGAGAGGAGATGGACATATGGGCAAATTAGCTATCCCAACTGGAACCTAGCTAATGCATTCCGAAGAGGCAGACTTCCAGTCTGAGGTAGATGAAAAGAGCAGCCATAGAAACAGATCTGTAGAAGCATCAATTGGAAAGGATGGGAGGGTTGGAGGAGGAGCACATTTGGATGACTACATTAGGTAAGTGTTTACGATCAAAGCCTGTTCTCTGTAGACAACTGTATTAGTGTTGACAGAAGTGCATTTATGCAATGTCTTTCAACTCAAAAACTACAATTCCTGATCTCATGTGATTATTCACCTCATGTAAGTGGGCTTTCGGATGTTTATTTTTTCCTGAAACAGATTGTGGCATATGAGGTCACTTTATCTGATGAAGCATCAATAGGAGAGGATGAAAGGGAGGGAGGGAGAGGAAAAGACAGAAGAACAGATGAGGTAAGTGCTTGGGCTTGTGATAAGAGGATGGGGGCTCCAGAACTCGGCTTCATTATTTAAAATTATAAGACAAATGTATTACTGTGAATCCCATTCGTTCAATGACTGTTTGTTGTTTTACAGGAGCACTATGTTCTGCTTCCGTGTGGATTGACAGCATTGCTTTAATGAGCTGCTGGAGGGAACAATGGAGGAAGAGGGAGAGCGTCCATTATAGGCAGTTTGCCATGGCCCTAAATGGGCTTTTGGATGTTAATTTTTCCTGCTTTATATCATACAACTTTACAATAAAAATGAATTGCAAGCATCAGCCTTTTCTGTTTGAGTGTGATCAGTGCAGTAGTTGTAGGATTGGTGTAAACCCAAATAATATTCTGACACTAGTGTTCAGTTGGTATAAAATAGTGTGATAAGAAATGACCAACATGTTATGAAAACAATATAGAGATATAAATATCAAAAGCAGTGTTGCATTTATTTAGTAATTGCTATTTCTCACTCATAGAGAATGGTGTCCTTGTTGTGATCAGTCCATCGACAAATGCATGTATGCGCATACACACACAGAGAGTTAGTCATGATTTCCCTGAGTCATCAGACTCTGGTGAAGGTTTCTTTGCATCTGCATCTTGAGCAGTCTGTGTTGAATCCTTGCCGGACTTGTCTACAACAATCTCGAAGGCCGCCTCTCCTTCTACCCTCTTCACTTTCTCCCCTTTCGCTGCAAGGATTTCCTCAATGTTCCTGTAGGGAAAAAAACAAACCATGAATAAAAAAAATATATATTCAGGAATAATACTCAAGTCTTAAGGAGGCTGCATGCAAACAGAGCGAAGGAGCGTCGTATATGGTCCGTTCCAAAATCTGAGTCACACAAAAGTACCTAGAACTACCTGTGAATATTATGCTGGGTTTGCGTGAAGTGTGTAGGGCCCTTTAGTCCACACAAACGTTACAGCCTATTAATACGGTATTCACTTATGATTCACTATGACTGCAGTTCCATTTCTCTTCTGTGCATGTCACTATCAATAGGGGAAATACATTTACATTTAAGTCATTTAGCAGAGTGATTTACAGTTAGTGAGTGCATACATTTTTTTTTTCTTCTTCATACTGGCCCCCCGTGGGAATCGAACCCACAACCCTGGCATTGCAAGCGCCATGCTCTACCAACTGAGCTACAGGAGACAATACGTAGACTATTAGCTAAAGACCTGTCCATAAAGTTCCCAGCTGCGCCTGAATCGACCAGCGCCTTACACTGGGGAACTACCGTGTAATCAGGGAAGTTGACGTGGATGGTGAAATGCGCAGCAGAGGGCTCTGAACGAGTGTGGGTTTGCGCTACCTGAGGTGACGCGAGAGTGCCCTGCCTGCATAACATTGTAATACTGTGCATGCATGTAAAATGTTCACAACTACATTAACTTGGCCACCAACCTCTTTCCCTTCAGGTCAGAGAACCAACCCAAGTTGTCAGCAATAATGTGGTGTTTTTCACATCCTGGGCAGGTCACTAGGACAACACCTTTATGATAGGCTACCTTGGATATCCTCTTTGTTGACCTGGTTGAGCACACCTGCATACAGATCATTGACAGTAAAATAATGATACCGTTTATTAGAAGAGTCAGGGTGAAGAGTCAGTCTGAACTTTATAAACTATCCATATAATCTTATTCATTATCTAAAAGGCAAAACTGATCCATCAGCACTGATCCATCAGCACTCCTACTCTGAGATGGTTTGTGGATACGGGCCCTGAGTACCAGTGTTCTGATCACCTCACCAACCAAATCTTGATTGACAAATCATGCTATGCCTGTCACTGTAGAAACATGATGTGAACAAGAACTGATCTTCCATTTAAAAGTGGGGGCGACTGCTGGGCTCCCTAGGGGGAGGTTGGAGGTGGCGTTATCCAGGTCCCCCTGCTCCGAGATGGCCCGCTTGAAGCCCCGGCTGTGCCCATTCACCACTCCTCCACGGTGCCACTTACAGAGGTCCCCATTCAGGATGTCCTGGATGTGCTGCACGATGAGGTTGATGGCCACTGAGCATGAGAGGCAGATTAATAAGAGAGATGGAGGGAGGGAGGAGTGTGGAGAGAGAGGGATATGGAGAGGGTATGAGTCTGAAGGCTTCATCAGAGTGCTATAACTTACCCATGTTGTCAACTCCTCGAGGAATAATTACAGCTGCATATTTCTTGGTCTGGGGGGGAAAATAACTAATCAATCTAAATTTGGTAGCTAATGCTCTCAAAAGACTGCATTTAGAACATAATATAAATTAGTCACTGGGTGTTATATGTGTCATTATCTTTTAAATGTCCATAATTAGCCCTATTAATAATGAATGAAAGTGTCCATTATCTGTTAGTTATCATCGGTGTATGGTGAGGGTGTGTGGCTCTGCTGGACATTTACAGGCAAACAGAACTCCTCGAAGGCTGGCTTGACAAACGTGGTGTACTGGTTAAGGATCTGCTCCAGGTCTCTGCCTCTCTTCATGTCCCGCAGAACTGCAGGTCAAAACCAAAACAACAACAACCAGGTCAGGACCAAGACAACAACAACAACCAGGTCAGGACCAAGACAAATGTGACAATTCAGTATATTCATCAAATATGCTAGAGAAAAGTGTGTGTATGAGTATGGAAGTGGACGTGCATGTGACAATCCCCTTGTTAGGTGTGTGTGTGTTTCAGTAGTACCTCTGCGGGACAGCCTGACATCAGAGTCAGTGTCCACAAAGAGCTTCATGTGAAACATGTCCCTCACTTCCTGAGAGTAGAATACCAGAATGCCCTCAAACAGAACCACATCAGCGGGGTACACCGTGATCCTGTCCTGCAGCCTGGAAAAAACACACACATTAAGCACCAAATGTATAGTACACACAGAGGTATTCTATTGACAGACTAACTTTCACGTGAATGCATGGTGTGTGTGTGTGTGTGTGTGTTAATTAATCTGCAAATGCATTGACATTCATGTCTGAGGCTGCACACACCGGGACGATGAACGGCCGAAAGCAGTAGGTGCCGTGCTCTATGATTCAACACAGAATCAGAATGGCTGTCTGCACTTAGTTTTCACAGTGGCAAATATATTTTTTTAAATATATGGCACACGACACCGGTCTGATTGACGCCTGTCTCAGTGGACTAATCCATTGGAGACCGCGGGGATGGCACACCAGTACCACCACTAGTACATTTACCGTTAATTACCATCATTTCTAATTACAATGTTTGTTTATGGTAATTTCTGTTAATGCTTTTTTTCTGTTAATGCATTCAATGTATTATTATTATTACAGTCTTACCGTTGTCATTGTCGGAGTGGACGCGTTGTTTGCAGAGCGCACAACCTACGTTTATTTCTGAGTTGTTAATTTATTCATTGTCTTTTGTTTGGAGCGCGCCTGTCAATCTTGAGTAAGGACACGCACCTTGTAACACATAGAAGTAGGCCTAGGCTACCTGGCCTGCGCGCAAATGTAGGCCTATAAATGTGCCCATTTGGGGATCTGATACTATTTCTGATTTTCTTAATTCACCATCACTGTGGAGCTTCTCAAAGTAATTTTTTCTTTGCCTCATACAGCAAGTAAATGAAGTCTGTTTTTACATCCATTGAAAATGACAATAGTTCCTCAACGTAGCCTATTTCAAAATTATTTCCAGCTCTCTCCCTTTCGATAACCACACAGCATGAAAGGCAAAATAAATGTCATCCTCTGATCCAGTGGAAACGTCACAATATAGGCCTACCTGATTACTTCTTATCCCTTGCGCAAAATAGCCTACAGCTGTTGTCTGTCTGTCCGGAACTCACTGGCACAGGAAACTGAGGGCCCAAAACATTTTATACAATGTTGCAAGTTTGCTAGCACGAGCATCAGGCTGGACCAAGTTAATAGTTGATACAATGTTTTAAGTTCCTTGCAGACAGGCCATGCGTAGCCAATGGGATTTATAGTATATTTATTTTTATCAGGATATTTTCTACCTGCAGGCTGCAATGTTTTTATTTGTTGGCTATATGTAGGCTATTTTTACATAGTTGGCAATGGCAATAGAAGTTACTTTTAGATTTGTATCATTTTCAATGTTGATTAACCACAACATTGATTTTGAGTTTTGAAGACTATTATAAATTAAATGAAACTGTTCTACGAAAATGAAAATCATAACTGGCACGCACGCAGTTCAGTAGAAATGGTACGATAACTTGGCACTCCAAATGGAAAAGGTTACCGACCGCTGGCGTAGCCTATTACCGGCAACTTCAGGAGCGTAACGGCAGAATCTGCGAAGACCAGCAGTAGAGGGAGGAGGGGGGTCAGGAACAGTTTTTTTTAAATTCTGGTTAGGCTATATTGATCTCTGGCTCCCTCTTTAGTCATTTGTGTGTCTTCATTTTTAATCGCAGTGCTTAAACCATCAGACAAGCTCCGTAGCCTACATATAGTTGATTTTATTCAAACATAGGGTGTTTGGAAAAATACACGTTTTAAAAGCGATTGGTCAAAAGAACAGACGACTCTCGGGTCAACCAGGATTTTATTTAGTTGGGAACTGCCCTAGTGTGCAAACCGTTTGGTCTTTTGCCAAACGTTTTGCAACGGAAACCGTTTACTCTAGGGTCCAAACGGAAGCATACAGACTAAACGAAACGGGGAGAGACCCATCTGAATTTGTCCAAAATAAACTTGTTTTCATTGCACAAAGTTTTCAGTTTGGAGTAAATGTTTTGCAACAGACTAATGCAATGAAATCAGACTAATGAATACACCCAGTTCTTTTGGTTTTTCTTTTTCTTTAGGTCAAGGGTCATCTATCTGAGCTCTGGAATGTGGAGGGTGGGCATTTTTGATCCCGTCTGTCTGAATTCAAGAAGGGGCATTTCTGTACACTGGGTCTGGATGGAATGTTTCCTTCTCACCTGGAATGCGTGACAAAGTCATATGTCGGCACCTCCACCACACTCCCCTCCACAATATCCTTCAGGGTTTGGTACATCAACTCTTTGTCGAAAGCATCTGTAATAAACATTAAGGTTATTAACTCAATTACACTGTTCAGCCAGAACATTAGCCATTTATAATTCTAGCAAAGATTCATTAAACGCCATGATTAACTAAATCCACGTTATCTAAGTGATAAGTGACTGACTGAGAGCTTATGTTATTACAACGATTATACTTATGTTATTACAATTCATACAGGCCTGTAGTACATTTTACATTTACGTTTTAGTCATTTAGCAGACGCTCTTATCAAGAGCGACTTACAGGAGCAATTCAGGGATTCTAACCAGCGACCTTTCGGTCCAATCTTTAGGCCCAACGCTCTTAACCGCTAAGCTACCTGCCACCCCCACCTGGGTGGTCAAAGTTGTAATGGCCCTTGAGTGCCTTGGCCTTCTGGTCAGGTGTCAAGACTCTGTAGAAACTGTCTTGGCTGACGATAGCAACTTTCCTCTGACGATGGTCCACCTTGTTCTGGCCCAGCAACTCCATGATTTTGGCACATACTGTTGACAAAAAAACAGACAGGTTTATTATTTCCTAGATTAGCAGAGTTTAGCTAAATCTATCACATAGAAAGGGGTTATGTGTATTTCAACATTTTGTGAGTTGAGTAAAGTTTCCATGAATTGTGTGTAATATACCATGTTAAAGACCTGTCACACGCAGGAAATGTGTTGACATTTGGCATATTTTCAGTTTGATGATGAGGTTGGAGCAGAGAGCAGTAGCTGACACATTTCAAAATAATCTCACAGACAGAAAACAAGACACTAACGTTAGTTTAATTGATGGCTTGGTGGCAAGAGACGTCCCCATTTCATTAGCAATGTCACATCACATCACGAGTTCTCCTATTCCTGCATGACAACTGTTAGAAATTGCGTAATTCAAATCTGGTATTGGAAAAATAGAAAACATAATCAAGAGATATTCATTCCAAGCTAAACAAAACCCAACTATAACACAAGGTTATGACTGAAATGCCCTCTCAAAGTGGTAGAGAAAAATAGTTCTAGAAAATGATTGACTGTTAACTGAGAGCTTTGGATAAGTATATATAGGCCTACTTTATTGATATTGGCCACTACACTTCAGACTGTCAGACCAAAATGTTTGGCTTCTTATTTGATAAATCATTTTTTCTTAAATGTTTCCCTCTGAAAATACACTCAGGTGTTATTGTATGGGAAAATCAAAAGCGAATAGCTACTTGAGACATTTTGTTGTAAAGTTCTCAAATGGCTTAACAGAAATGTCACAATAATATGGATGGAGGTCTAGTGATTGTATTGTTTGTTTCCTTATGAAAACACACAGAGCGTACCCTGTTCCTCTGGCACAGTGATGTAATCGTGTGGTGGTCTAAAACAAGTGTATCATGCCTCACTATGTTGGTTTGAATGTGAGGTTTAGCAAAAAATTCACTGTTCGGAAGTCATTTTCCCAAACATTTGGGAAAATGACTTCCGTTTAATACAAACCCAAATCAAATAGTTTAATACAAACCCAAATCAAATAGCTACAGGTAGCCTACTACTGAATAAAGACCTGGATAAGTAACAGGCACTACCATAATGTTTGCTGAAGGAAGAGAAAGAGAAACCTAAGTAAGCTCTATGTTGCTCCCTTATTTCAAAGCCTGAAGCAGCCAGCCATAGTTGTAAAGGTCACTTGGGTTTAGGAGATTACAGTAGAAATCAATCTATTTCTCAGAGATTACTCCATTATGACCATCATCTGACAACAATAAGGGTCCAGCGGGCCCCTACAGATCAGGTTAGATTAGAGTGACCAGTGTGGCCCTACAGATCAGGTAAGACTGGAGACGACCGGCTGGTCTGTCTCAGTGGGCTTGGTAGTGGAACCAGCCAAGGGACAACAAGGGGATTTAGCCTGTGTCCCAAATGGCACACTATTCCCTATATAGTGCACTACTTTTGACGAGAGCCCTATGCCCTGGTCAAACGTAATGCACTGTGTAGGGAATAGGGTGCCATTTGAGACAAAGGCTATTTAGAATTGAGCTCTTACTCCTGAGGGGACAAAACATCCAACCTCCTATGCCTCATGGACTACTGTAGCCACAGGGGTGAATCGAATTAAAGCAATCGGTCATTTGATGCATGGCTTGAGTTCCCACTGTGTTTTGTGATGCTTGAAGGAATTGGACCTGTTTCGTCGTTTCTGAATAAAGGAAAGAGTTAATTACTTGCTTGTGTAATTCACTTGAGTCACTTGCTTTGGCAGTATATGTTTCCCATGCCAATAAAACCCCTTTGAATTTAGAGAGAGAGAGAGAGAGAGAGAGAAAACGGGACCAAGCTCAGTGTGGGTGGGCTACGGGCCTCCATAGGCTAGGTGACTGAAGAAAGCTAATCTGATTTAGCTCAACACTAAGCCACTAACAGGATCAGTTCACCTGTTAAAGCACTGCTACACAACACAAGGTAACACAGGCTGCTGTCACACTCCACACATACACTCAATGACAAACACACTATGGGACCATTACTTGGGCCAAAAACTTTACATGTGTTTTTATATAAGTAACTCAGTTTGGTGTAAATCATGCACTGATATCAATGTTACATTTAAGTAAGTGAGAAAAGTGAGTGTGCATAAATTAGAAATCGTCCCTACAGTATGTGTTCTTATGTATCAATTTAATGTTGCCCTCATCAATGGTCCCGTTCAGCTCAGTTGGTAGAGCATGGCGTTTGCAATGCCAGGGTTGTGAGTTCGATTCCCACAGGGGACCAGTATGAAAAAAATTAAATATGTATGCACTCACTAACTGTAAGTCGCTCTGGATAAGAGTGTCTGCTAAATGACTAAAATGGAAATGGTCGTTCCTAGTTAGGGTTCTTTCTCAGTTTTAGAATTGTGATCTGTTTCCCTTATCTTAGTTCACATGAGGGCGGAGTAGTCTACAGGTTAGCTACCAGCCCTTAGATACATGCTCCATAATCTGCAGACGGCACCACACATGGCCCCACAAGCCATGAATGTTGTCCCTTGTGACTCAGTTGGTAGAGCAATGTCAAGGTTGTGGGTTCGATTCCCATGGGGGACCAGTATAAAAGAAAAGAAGAGAACGGAAATGTATGCACTCACTACTGGAAGTCGCTCTGGATAAAAGTGTCTTCTAAAATGTTAACTTTTAAATAATTAAAACAGCCAGCCATGCCATATCTCTGTTTCTGCAGTTATGGCGAGGTATGGCATTTTCTTTGGAGATTGTTTTAGGTATTTACCAGACTCAGGGAGGGACAGGCAGCTAGCTCATGGCAGTCACACCACACAACCTCTGACTGGTCCCCTGTTCACATTCCCCTGGAGTCATCAGACAGGCTAGCCACACCACACAACCTCTGACTGGTCCCCTGTTCACGTTCTGCTGGAGTCATCAGACAGGCTAGCCACACACTGTGACACAAACTATTTTTCTCTCCCTAATTTATACATGCAATGGTCGCCTAGCAACTGCTACAACACCCGACCCCCACCTCACCTCCCTCTCCCATCTTACCGCCTCCTTCTCTCTCTCTCTCGCTTTCGGTCTCTCTTCCCTTACCTCAGTAATAAATGTGCCATTTCCAGTCTTTCCTGGCTCCAAAAGCCACACTTTCGCTCTCTCCAGCCCCTCCCCTCGCAACTCTCTCTCCAGTGTTCAGTGGGAGTAGGCTCTTTTGAAGAGCTGTTTTTCGTTTTAGTGTTCCCAATATTCTGCCGTTATTTAAAGTACTTTAGTCTATTTATTTAAATCAAATCATTCCCACCTAATTAGTTAAAGTTGGTGCATATTTATATTTCAACAATAAACCAAATTATTTCAGTCTAATTGTTTAACCAGTATTTTGCAGGGTCAAACATCAAACGCCACAGTTCAATCATATCAGCTCAAACGTTTCAGTTCAGTCACACTAGTCATTCATCACAACCAAGCTAAGAGTGTGCAATAATTCTAACTAGATAGCTAGCTAGCTGTATACCATTAGCTAGCTAACTTTAAGTGCCTTAAATTTATGAAAACAGACGTTCGTAAATTATTAGGCCAAAGAAAATACAAATTGTTATCATGTTTTGGTACAGGGGCGTGTCTGCTCTCAGTGCATGGGGAAACGAAAGCTAGCTAATTTTCCCCAAACATCAGACACCCCCTGACCTCGGACACTCTCTAGCGGTTGGAGGACTGAATCACCTCGAGCTCAACATTTAAATGGACTGAAAAATAACGGTACGTTTTGTGACTAACGACACCCTTTTAGCTAGCTGACCACCGATTTTCAGTGCAATTTCTGTAAGTTAAGTTAGGTTTTGAGAGTTTTCAAAAAAGTTATATGTACACATTTTGTGGAACACGCTGCATATTGTAAAATTCGACTGCGCGACAGACCACACCTAATTTAATATCCAACTTTTTACCTCTGAAATATAGCTAACGGATGTTCTAATGTTGCTATCTTAGTTGCTAAATGTTGATAGAACTGCTAAGTAAGCAAAAAGGAAAGAAATTGTAAGTGTTAGATAATACATATCATGAAAACAGCTGCATGTTGTCAAGCTTTACCGTATCAAAATTGGAGTCCTCTGACGGAGGCGTTTTGCACAATCTGCAAAAATGTATTTGGAACTTTGAACCATTAACTTTTTGACACCTAATCACTGTTGGCTATGTTTCATCTTACAACAGCTACATAGAGGCAGTATTTAGTTAAATGGTACAATGTATGCATCAATATTACACTAATTGGGACACTAATTTTCATTACAGATAACATCAAACAAAAAACGTGGGTACACTTTCAGTTATTGTGAAAACTTTCATCACCTTTCAATGCCTTAGCTTTGAAATGTAAATGTTTATACATATTCAGATTGAGTTATCTTTCTAAAATGTGTATAGTATGCCAAGTTATTTAGCTACATGTATTTACCACTGCAGCATGGAGAAAGTCAAGAGGAAGCAGTGGAGTGAGGTGGACATGTTCCATGCCATGGAGGACTGCGGGGCAGGGATGGCTATCCGCCAGGCTGCCAAGGTTAGGCATCTTTTGTTTTTAGGAGATTACCATGTGTATGTGAATTTTATCTGCTAGTAACAGTTTTCTTTTCTTATCTACCAAGGTGCATGGTGTACCTCGGCAGACCCTGGCGGACAGGCTGAGCGGCCGGGTGACCCATGGTTGTCGCAGTGGACCACCCACATTGCTTGCACCAGAGGATGAAAAGTCTCTGGTGCAGTACTGTATCTACTGCGCCAGCCATGGGTTCCCCTTCACCAGACAGAGGCTGATGAAATACGCCGACAAAATACGCAGGTATTTGGTGTTCTATGTGTTTATGTATGTAGAATGCTGGACTGACTGTTATCAATGTGTGTGATGTAAATGTGTATGTGTATGGTGATGCCAAAACAAACATTTTCATCCTGGATGGACAATTATATATTCTATTCTATTGTAGGTTTCGGCACCCAGGGGAAACAATCCCACCACTGGGGAAGAGGTGGTGGGAAATGTTCAGGAGGAGGCACAAGAACCTAAGCATGAGGAGGCCGGACACCCTGGATAGGGGGAGAGCTGAGTGTGCCACACGTCCGACGATGGACACCTTCTTCGCTTCTTATGAGAAGCACTTGGAGGAGAGTGGGTTGAGGGAGAAACCCAGACAAATCTATAACTGCGATGAGTCTGGGTTTCGTAGCGACCAGAGCAGGCACAAAGTGCTGGCTCCAAGGGGCGCAAAACACGTGTACCAGCAGGCTCCGGGGACCAAGGAGCACATCACAGTGCTGGCCTGCTTCAACGCAACTGGGGAGGACATCCCCCCGTTTATCATCTACCCCAAGTGTTTCCCCGGTGGCCACTACACACTGGGAGGCCCCCCCCAAGCCTTGTATGGACAGTCAAGCAGTGGCTACATTGACGGGGACCTGTTCAGGAAGTGGTTTCAGCACTTCATTAAGTATGCAGTGAAAGAGCGCCCTCTCCTTCTCCTCTTTGATGGGCACAAGAGCCACATGGACCCGGAAGTGCTCGCGGTGGCACTAAGGGAAGGGGTTATACTTCTTTGTCTTCCACCACACTGCACCCATGTCCTGCAGCCGCTGGACGTGGCATACTTTGGCCCTTTAAAGGCTGAGTTCTCCAAGGTAGCTGGAGACCTTAGCCATTTTGACCACTCCTACATGGTAAACAAATCAGAATTTGCCAGAGTATTCCGCTACCCGTACCAGCGATGCAAGGACATGCGCTATGTGGTGGAAGGGTTTAAGAAGTGTGGCCTCTTCCCTTTTGACCCTTCAGCCATTGAAGGGTCCCGTTTAATGCCGTCTCGGACCCTACCGGGTCCCAACACCGCCTCTACTGGAACCAGCAGCAATGTGCCATCCATCAGCACCTCCTCCCCAGCGACCACAGGAGGACCCTCAGCCCCTGCCCCAGTCCCAGCCGCTGCTCCAGTCCTATCCCTAGCTCTAGAAGAGCACCCCCTAATAGAGGGGGGGCTGATAGCGAAGGACCTGGGGCACATCCTTACTGTCCTGAAGTATCGGCTGGACCGATACAGAAGACTCCCTGTGGTCGCCACATGCCTCACCGGGGAGGAATACACGCGCCAGTGGCAGGAGAGGGGTGAGAAGGAGAGGGCCGGGGCAGAGGAGAAAGAGCGTCGGGCAGCCCTCAGAACACAGAGGGCACAGGAGAGGGCTGCCATGGATGAGACCATTGACGCCATCGCCTCTGCTGGACCCCCTGCTGGAACCACTCCTGACAGCTGCATCACCACTGCCAGTGCCTCCCAGTGTGCAACACCTGTAGGAGCCGCCGGAGTCCCCAGCTGCAGAAGAAGGCCACATGCCTACTCTCCCGGCCACACCATCGTCGGCCCCTCAACCCCACCATTACAAACACCAGCTCCTCCAAGCCATCGTCGGCGGTTTTGTCCACCACCACCCCAATGCACACCACCCCCCATGTCTGTCACCACCAACACGGCCTCCTCTGGACCAACTGCCTCCTCCGTCTCCCCTGGTCACACCACCATAGCAGCCTCGTCTGGTGTCCCTGCCCCCTGCAATTTGAATACCACCACCTCCACAGGTAAACACATGTTAAATTACGAAAAAATGACTGTTTGTTATCTGTTTTATAAAACAGCAATGTAAAAAAATATATATATATATATATATATATATATATCTTTATATATCTACAGTAAATAGCACCAGCCCTCAAGTCATCTCCGCCTCCTCCAAAACCTCTGCAGCTTCCTCCAGAGGTATTGATGTAAAAAAGTTGAAAAGGGTTTTCATGCAACATGCTCTGTCTAACACTACTTTTTCTCAAACTGCAGCACAGAAAAGGAAGAGAAAAGCTACACCGGTCACATCTGTCACACCACCCATGGCACCACTCTCAGGTACTTCATAATCTGTTTTTCTCGCTCTCTCAGTTGTATCAATTACTATTGTTGTTGAAGAACTTCTACATTTTGCAAAACCATATTAATCAATTTGTATTATTATTTAATTTTTTATAAAAGAAGACACCACCTGCTGTGCTCGCTGCGGGGAGCGTGATCCGCCTGCAAGCTCCTCTCAGGAGTGTAGATCCGAGGTGCCATGGGTGTGCTGTGACTTTTGCCAGCACTGGTTCCACTGCAGGTGTGTGCAGTGGGATCAAGAGGTAGCGGTGGAGCTGGATTTTTATTGTGATTTTTGTGACAATATAGGGATGGAGGTCGATATTTAATTGTTTGTTTTGTTTGTGTTCATATGAAATTATTTATTTGTTCAAAAAAATGAATGTCTAAAATATAATATATATATTTATTGAACCCATCTTGTGTATTTCTTCCTTTACTTTCCAAGTGCACCTCTGCAACACAAACTCCAACAGTGTTTTCATTGTTTTATGTTAATGCACATAACTGAAATTAAAGTGTATTTGATGTAAATTATTAATACTCATATTTCATTTGGTTACAACACTGAATATGTTGGTGAAGAACCATTTTTTAAGAGTCCACAAGAGGGCGCACCGGGCTACGCAATGAAAAGTTGACAGGCAAATCATTATTTTTTACCTGAAGACTAGCCAACTAGTCAACTATCTAGTAAACACTTCGGGTACGTGGTTGGTGTCTCTTTTTTCAACAAAATTAAACGGATATATCTTGTAATTGAACAAAATAGTAAGGTGCCCAATAACTGGGGGCCGTATACAGATAATACGGGACGTATTTTTTTGCTAAACCGCTTATCAAAAGCAGATAACAGTAATATTTTCAAATGAAATGTCAAACTTGCTAATTGCTAAACCGTTAGCTAACATTTTTACGACACCAATAATCACAAAACATTGAAGGCTTGATCACAAGATAACACTGTTGAAGGTAATATATTTCTTAAACGCTGTTGAATATGCCGATAATACGGGATTCTACGCTAACGTTTCCGACTAACGTTACTGTTTGTTGATGTGACCTAAAATTAAAGGCGCTTCATGGTCAATCTCTGATCTGCCGTGCAGTATTTACGGTGATATGGCCTCTGCAGAAGTCAAGGCATTCATGCTTCGCGGCGCAGAGCTGATGTGAAGGAAGTTGTCAAGTTAGTGAGTTTGTGTTTACACAGGACCTTCCGCCCTCAATCATGTCAACGCGGAGCTATACGGAGCCTTCCGCATTGTTACAACACGGCGATGCCGTACAGAGCTCAATCTGGCCACCACCATTACGGCGTCTCCGACCACATTTTCGGATCAAGCATAAATTGACTCTTACTAACCCATACAGCTAGATAAGGCACGCTAGCTATTATTAGTTACCTACCTTGCCACTGGCCGTTCCTCCGCTAACACCGATCAGAAACGGACGGTGTCTTGGCCGCTCCATCTCGAACGGTCTGATAGCAGTCATATCGGGGCAATTTGTCGAGCTAGCTTGCTGCCTTCTTCTTCTTCTTCTATAAAGATTTATGGAAGACTACACCTATTTGTGTATTGCCGCCACCTCTGTACGGGGTCCTCTTCTTTGATATTATGGCGGTCCGCAAACAAATGCTATTGGTGCATGCCGCCACCTACTGTTTTGGCTGTATATCAGCCCAAATAATTAACAAAATAATACAAAACAAAAATCAATGCGCTCCTTTATTCAGATTCAACTGCCAACGCCCATCCCTGCAGGTTCTGGGGCCTGAGAAAAAAATAGCATCTTCGGACAGTATTCTTTGCACCGTTTGGGCAGTGAAGTCATGGAAACCCAAAAACCTTTCAGCCGCTGATCCTATTATGTCCAGTTTCTTGGACTTTTTGTTCGTTTGTGCAGTACAATTAATCACATGCGCGATAAACACCATCAAATTCACCTTCTTCACAATCATTATATCAGTTTCCCTCAACTGTTGAACAACACTCTGAATCTCCCCAGTCTAGCTGCTTTATAAAACAATAATCTGTTCACGTTCATACGTGTAACAACGCGAGAACACGGACAAGCACTTCCTTCAGAAAAATTATGTTTGTAAAAACGTCAAAATAAGGGTCCTCATTTTGAAACTCATGAAATAAGTGTGAAAAAAATGCTGTAATGTTGCAATAATACATTAAATTGGCCACCATGCAGTTTTTGTAATGTTCTATTGCCTAGGCCTACTGGTTCTCTGAAGCATCCTGAAGAGTTACCTTGTTGTATAATGTATACCATTTACAACTGGAATCTATATTGATATTACAATAAGGTGTGTATATTTTTTTCTTATGAATACATTCCTTTGTTGTTATCCAATAATTTTCACTTAGCAAAAATTACTTAATATCAAGCCAAAACTGATTGTGTGGATGAACAAAGGTAATGTTTACATAGTCCTATGTACATCCCAAATGGCACCCTATAAAGAACACTATCGGCCCTGGTCAAAAGTAGTACACTATGTAGGGAATAGGGTGCAATTTTAGGACACAATGAGAGGACACCCGCTCATGTATCATGGACAGTAGCTGTGAAGTGATACACATTGTTGCAGTGTGGTTTTTACTATGTTTATGAGCTTACTACTACAAAATATACTGTATTTCAACCATAGAAGTGGGTTAATTGGTTAAGGTAATTGAAAATAGGCCTATTTGGCTCTGGTGATTTGTCTGTCAGGATGGGTGTGGTCTCCCATGGCATCACATTACATCACAATCATGATGTCATAAATGACTGTGTTCAGATATGTTGACAGCCTAAATGGTTTGCCATAGCGTTACTGTCACATTACGGCAACACTTAAGTTCAATTCAGGGTGAAAAGCGTTGCTATATTTTGGATGGTTCATTTTGAAGTGCTTGGTGGTCAGTAGTTGGGACCACTTGGGATTTAGTGTGAGTAGTCCTACTTTGTGGCACAATTTAATTGAGTTTATTTAAATAATATAATAACATTTTTAAGCCATATTGTATCTTTTTCAGGATTACAGTAATTGAGGGAACTATGGGAAAGTTCTCCTTCCCAAGGCTCATCATAAGAATGGTTAGAATCCCTTTTCTCTCACCACCCTCAGTCAAAACTCCAGTGCTTTAAAATCATCATTTTGACATTTAGGCCTATGAGCTTTTCTAAGATTGAAAATAACAAGCTTGTATAATGATAACCTCATTACTGACTGCATGTTTGTCCTCATTTTAATTTCTAGCCATGGGCAAATCGGACTGCACGGGAAGATTTCTGCACAGGAACTAACGAACTCCACAGGCTCAGAACAAACCACCCTCACAACTCCTCACAACTCCCCAGCCATACTGTAAGTCCCATCTGCAGGCTAACTCTATGATCTCTAAAGTGGTCCAGACTAATAATTTATGGCCAATCAGTGTAAACTTCGTACTAACTACGGCTTGATCTAGTGTCAACATTATACCTTCTTGATATTCTATATCAACGGAAAACGATGGAAGGCACATAATAATCCAATGAGTAAAACAAAATATACCATGTTCTATTCTCAATATCCCTACTGCCCCAAAGGTGTGTAGGCAGGGCAAGGAGAACACCGATTCAACCCCGAAGAAGAGGAAAAAGAAGAGGCACAATGAGAAGGGGACCCAGGTTGAACTAGGCATTCGGGAGGATATCCATGACCTTGAGCTCGCCCATTGGAGATTGGCTAAAGAGACATGGAGAACTGAGCGAGGAAACATAAGGCAGATGAAGGCGCTATATGGAGAAATATTTAGGCTGCAAAAGTTGTTGGAGGAGGTAACGAGCTGTTTTCTTAAATCAGACTTCTCAGTAGATATACTGTAGTTGCTTTGAGATGTTCCCAATCCTGATACACGGAAATTAGATCTAAATAGTTTGAATAGTGAAATAAGACAGCAATAAAAAAAACTGCACACTGGTAGTATTCTCAGGAAGGTCTGCATTCTGCACTGGTAGTATTCTCAGGAAGGTCTGCATTCTGCACTGGTAGTATTCTCAGGAAGGTCTGCATTCCTAGAAGAGTTGAAAAAGAATACATCCAAAAGTGTGGACGATCCCATTTTCCTAATAAGCTAATATACAGTAATAAAATGTTCTCTCTATAATATGTACTACCCATACACATATAATTGTTTTAAGATAGTAATAACATGGACCATCAAGCTATTAAGTAATAAAAATGTGTCTGTCATCATACAGATTGGGGTAGATAAAGGGGTGATCAAGCAGCGCTCCACCTCCTCCATTCTTTGTCCCGTCTCCCCGACACTGCCAGCTCTCCCCTGGTACAATCTCCACAGGTACCTCACCAAAAGCCAATCGGAGTGTGACCAGCATGCCGCCGCCACCCAGAAGAACCCGGCTAAGAAACACTCAATCTTTCCCCCTCTGGTCACACAGAGCTGCACCTCCCCTGACAAACGGCCTCATTCTCCGTCCAAGACGTCGCACCCACACGCTTCACACAGATTTTCTGTCCCATCCTACCTCCTGGCTCCCGGCCCTCCTGCCCAGCTGAGGCAGACCCATCCGCATGTCCACCCCAGGTCCCCATTGACTGACCAGGCAAAGGTCAAGGATAAGGTCAAGAGGTCAGAGGTTGCATCGTCTGAGGAATTGTCTGAGGAAGTTCAACGGAGAGGCGCAGAAATTGAGAATATGTATAAAGCGCAGCTGAAAGAGAGGATGGCCCAAAAGAGAAAGGAAGAGATTCTGAAGAAAAGGATAAACAACTATGACAAGAACGATGACACTGAGGCCTCCTGCTCCTCTGCAGTAGGACAATCCAAGACCCCTGCCACAGCCCCCGAGCGTCCGGCCAGCCCAGAGGCCACCACAGATGCCACGCCAGTGGCCGTCCAAGAGGACACTCAGGGGGCCACCCAGCAGGACCTAGCAGAGGTTGTGAATGTGCTCAAGAGGCAGTCATCTGACCTATACCTGCCTGACGACGTTTGTGAGGATTCACTCACGTGGAGCTCCATTTACGAGGAGCTGTGCCCACTTGCTCACAGGGTGAACTCAGAAGCTGACTACATCAAGGCGCTCTGCGACACCACTGAGAAGGCTGTGACGCCCTTGCGCTTGTCTCAGGAGGATGTGTCTCAGAGTATGAGTGAGGACACAAGTGAGGAGGGGAGTAGTGAAAGTGAGGAGAGCATGAGTGGACAACAACAGAGATGTCTACACAGGGATCCTTATGGTGAGAGGGAGAGGAAGAAGATTGATAGTCGTACAATGGAAGGGAGATATGCAACCGCAAATGCAATGTCTATGATGGCGAGCCTAGGGAAAGAAGAACTTAATGCCATGAGCTACGCAGAGAGGATTAAATATTTCAAGGACGAGGCTAAGAAAAATGAAGAGATGTTGAAGATGAAAAGTGGGAAGGAAAAAGAAAGGAAGGCGGAGAAAGACAGGGAAGAAGAGCTAAAAAAGTGGGAAAAGAGACAGAAGAAATCGGTTGAGGAGGAAAGGAAAATGACAGAAAAGATGGAAAAAAAGAAGTTAGAGGAGCAGATGAAAAGGGAGAAGGCAGAGATGAAACTAAAGATCGAACAAGAGAAAAAGAGACAAGAGCAAGAGAAAAAGAGAGAAAAAAAAGAAATGAAGAAGCAGCAGATGCAACAGAAGGCCCGCGAAAAAGAAGAGAAAAAGAGGGTGGAGAAAGAAAAAAAGAGGGAGAAAAAGAGGGCAGAGGAGTTTAAAAAGATTGAGAAACAGAGGATGGAGGAGGAGAAGAACAGGGAAAAGGAGAGAATGAAGGTGCTGGAGATGCAGCAAAAGGCACAAGAGAAAGAAGAGAAAAGGAGGAAGGAGGAGAAGAAAAGGAGATTGAAGATACAGCAGGAACAAGAGAAGGAGGAGAAGAAAAGGCAGAAAAGGATATGGGACGAGGATAAGAAGAGAGCAGAGCTTCAAAGAATAAAAGATGACGAGGCCAGGTTCAAGATGGAGATGGAGAAACTATATGAGAGAGAAGAGCGGATTGCACAGATTGAAAGAGAAAAGAGGCGTGCGAAGTATGAGAAAAAAGGGCAGACACAGAGAGCAAAACAGGTGGTGCCATACCAGGTCACAGCGTTTACATCTTTGTGGACGGAAGAGAGGGAGCAGTGTCCAGAGACCGCTCACGCACAGTCTGCCAAGAGGAGAACAAGGAAGAAGCAGAAGAATGAGGCGGACGAGGCGTTGACAACTTTTGAGTAGATGACGAAAGAAAAGCGAGCAGACAAAGGAAGAAAGAAATGTTGTCAATGCTCTTAGGTATGTTAATAGATGTAAATAAACAAACATTTTTATATTTAAGGCAAAAAACTAACAACAAAACTGGAAAAGGAGCAAAAGGGGGGGGAATAATACAGAGCCAGGCATGAGGGTGAAGAGGAGAAAACATGAGAGGAGGAAAGGAGACCAGAGTGGTTTATCAGGAGGGAAATAGGAGATATAGA